CAACTCTAAGCTACGCGTTGGGAGGTGGCACTTCCAAAATAATATTATACAAGTTGAACTATTTCTTTCAGCTCAAAGATAATTCACTGAAACGTTATCARGTACTCTGGATAGTTTTGGTCGTCATGGAAAACAACGTACATTGATGGGTTTGAAACGTCATCCACCACACTATCATAGGTTATTGTAGGAATGTTAGGGTCCTTTGGCGGTGGTGAAATAGTAGCCGGACTTCCCTTTGCATACTCCCCTGCCAGTACGTTGACCAGATATATGTAGCGGTTTTTTGATGAATCTGGAGGAGAATATTTAGTACTCATCGAGTATGAAGCATCTCGAGCAAAGTAAACGCCTYTTCCAAAATAGGTTGCTGCAAAAACGAAATGGAAGCTTTTGAAAACATGTATTATTTTATAATTAAATCTTAACCGAGCTTGTACATTCTGTACATTCTGTACATTCCGACCTCGGTCAAGATTATCCCGTACAGACCGACCAAACTCGGTTGATAAGAGTTTTATTATATGACCACTTTTCATTGAAAAGGACAAAATGTAAGATTAATATGCGATCGGACCGGTTAATACCGGAGAATCTAGACCAGTCCGCGATGCGATCTATCCAATCAGATTGCTCGATTTGCTAGTGTCCAGGCTCTAAGATTCACGGTCATATAATAACAAACAATATTATTAACATAATCGGTAAACAGAAATAAACGTATTAGATTTTAGAGTGTCATTTATACATCTTAAAGGAGAACCCCACACTCGATCCATGGCATACTCAATTAAAAGTTTATTATATACTTATCTTTTCTACAAAGCCTTGACTCCATAGCATCAAGTACCGCAGAGAATAATTTACGAAAGACACAAAAAATCCGAGCATGGCGGTCGCCATTTTGAATTGCCTTCTGAACGCGCAACATACTACTGGTCACCGGCATGTGACGTCACTGCGCGGTCTATCAACTTTCGACAGTCAATATTTGTTGATTGTTGGACAAATTGACTATCGGTGTTTTTTTTAGCTTGTTTTGCGAGCCAAAACTTCAAAACATTAACGATGAGTAGTAGTTCTTCTAGCGATTCGAGTTCGGGAAGCGATTTTGGCGATTATTTTGAGGAAATTCAACAGCAGGAATGACTTATTCAAGGCTTCATGTTCGAACCAAGACGCATCGTGGACGATTCGTCAGAGTCAGATATCTCGTCAGATTCATCAAACTCTGCAACTCACCACAACCGTTTGCAAAATTCAGATTGGTAAGCACTTTGAAGCATTTTATTGCACTGATTTTCGAGTTCAAGATGAAGTTTACTTTACGTTTTTTGTCAATTTATTCACCAAGGTGTCAAAGCGATTATTGTCGAATAATGGAGAGAAGTCGTCAACATCATATCTTACATAATTTAGCTGAACGTTGAATTGTCTCGGCTATCTATCTAAAATTAGCTCGTGTTTTATAATAACTACGTAGAAAAAGTAAATTAAAGAAGAAAATACTTTAAGACAAATGATAATAATATTAATGAGGTTATAATCTCTTACCGTTTTTCCCACAATAGCTCCTATTAAACCCCTTGAGGTTGATTAGCTTACATGTTTCAGGAGCAGTCCCATGGAACAGCTTTTTTTCGTTGCTGCCATTTTTGTCATCCAGTTCCTGTTTCTTCACCATGTATGCCCTGTAGCGAGAAGGGTTTTGTACTCGCTCAATCTTAATGATATTGGTCGGTGAGCGCGTCTTTTCTACGGCCTTCTTGACGTCATCGTACTCTTTCGAATTTTGGTCCAGAAGAACCAGATGAACGACCAGTTCTTTACCATCACTGTCTGACGGTTGCGGATCCCAGTTACCCGGGACCCGAATCCCTTTACAAGATAAAACATAGTATAATGCATGAGAAAAAATAAACACAATCAGAGACATCAGTCAACCAGAGACGAGATCTATAAATCGGTGGAATCAGAATCGTCCTTTTGCTTTCAACTTTAAGATGGATTTTCACGCGGTCAAACTCACTTGCAGTCTTAAAAGTATTAGTAGAACAAAAACATATGCACCTAGAGCCAAGAAAAATGAGAGAAGAGCGGTACGGAGCGGATTAAGAAGCACACAGTTTCTAGTATTATGGTCATTCTTTTAGAACTGAGATGAATGTCTAGCTCTCAAAATAAAAGATTCAACTTACCTGCTRTTTTCACTTTTCTCTCTACTTGAATAGTTTCATTGGTTTCCAGATCAGTTTCTGTCATTTCTCTGAAATCAATCTTGTAACTAGATATGCCATCTTCTTCAGCCAGATTCACGATAAAAAATGGCTCCTTACATTCATGCGCTTGTTCTATTGCGGCATTAGTTTCGATGTTGTAGGGAATTGCTTCACCGTCATACACGTAAGCCCACTGTACATTCAAGGACAACAGCTCAGCAAATTTACGACCATCTTCTTCTTTAGATTTTTCATTCAATATTTTATTGATAGCTGCAGAAATAAACGAAGGTCGGTCAAACCATATTTTTAAAGGCAATTTATCTTCTTTATTTTCCATCCCATGGCAATAGTCCCCTTCACAGTTCCCTGCGCCATCTTGAAAGGTAGCCGTGCCTTTGCATCGAAGTGAGACGAACGGTGAGCTTGCAATAATAGAGACATGCGATTAATTGTCCAAGGTGTTAGTAAAGGTCTCTATCATAGCAGGCTTACCGTTCATCTCGCTTCGATGCAAAGGCTCATCTACCTTTCAAAATGGCGCAGTTTTCTCTTCATTTTTCTTCTCCCTGTTGTTTATCCACGGGCAGCTCATCATCATCATCATCATCATCATCATCATCATCATCATCATTATTATTACTATTACTATTATTACTATTATTATGGCAGTATATAACATTATCATCATCCCATCCCCATCCCCATTCTTTAATGTTTTGATTTCGCACTTTAAGGTGTTATAGTGTGAAGTTATGAGCTACTACGATTAGGAGCCGCATACTCACCTATAGTAGCAATGAATACATCTTCAGAATCGCCCCGAACAACAATGCGGTTGATTTTCTTGTCTATTTGGATTGTAGTATTATGCGTTGTCTGAAACTGCATAATCCGTTGATTTTGGCTCTCTGAAAGTGTGCCAATCGCTTCATGATGGATCTCTTTCTTTCTCGATTTTTCTTTCACTAGGGCTATGAGATTAGATTCTGCTTCGTTCAAGTCCTGGTCACTGGAAGCAAATACCTAAGAAAGAGCATTCATTTTTTTCAACCACCAGGCCAACTTGAATCCCTTAAACGATACACGGCACTCCACCCACCCGTTGAATATTATAGATGGAGAAAATACGGAATACCTGGAGACGAAACCACACTTCAAACAAACTCAACTCAAATATGTGGCTCAAACTAGTCCGGAATCGAACAACAACAACAACGACAACAACAACAACAACAAGCAAGCAAGCAATATTGTTACTTTTGTTTTTAATAAACTTACGACCCTGGGCTACGCAGTGGTGAGAGACAGCGCCGTAGCATACTATTAATAAATGCCATAATATTTTTAATAGTTATCCCTTTCCTGACAAAAACACTAAATTGACCACGTATGTAGCACCTTCGGCAAAGAAAGCCATTCCAGAGGGAAACAAAAACATCATCTTTAGTTTAATGGCAAACGGACTTCGACAAAAAAGTTAAAGGAAAAAAAAATAACGTAGTGGTCATAGCAGGAAGTTGTTTTTTAAAATTGGAAAGAGCTATGGCGCTCAGAAAACAGACCACGATTAAACCAATTTATTCAGGGGATATTTGTTAATTCTAAGATTAAGAACTCCGCTTAAGGTGACTGGACTACTTTTGAATAACGTTCGCGTGTTATCAGGAAAGAAACTCAAGACTGTTGCCAACAAAAAGTTGCTCGGTGTAGAGATCGACCAATACTTACAATGGAACAACCATGTCAAATCTGTTATATCATCATGTTTTTCTAGACTACATACACTGAAGAAAATACGAAACGTTACTGACTGTAACTTACGAAAGCACCTAGTGGAATCACTTGCCCTCTCCAAACTGGATTATAATGACATTGTGTTTGAACCTTTGCAACAATACATAATACAACGTCTTCAACGAATGCAAAATGCAACTGCTTCGTGCTAGGAAGATACGCCACTACCGATGATTGCCTCAAAATTGGATGGTTACCCAAGGCACTATATGATCCACACTGTCCAAGCTATGCAAGTATAGAAAGATCGAACCCAACACGCAACCTGAGGACAAGCAGCAGTGTCAATCTTACCACCCCCTTATAAAAGGAACTTTCCCGGACAGTGCTTCCACAGCATTCAACTGTTTGCCTATTGACATTAGAAATTCAGACTCTTTCGCCTCCTTCGTGAGAAGAACTAAACTTTTATCAATGAAAGAAGCTAAGCTAGAACTAGATAAGTAATGATTCTAAGTTACTGACGTAACTATTTATAGCCGTAACCAATTATGGGGGTAGGGGT